TTTAAGCTTCGTATCGTTGGCGCATAATCTGAATGGGGCAGTCATGTCCGTTTCTGATGGCTCTCTTGATGATGCTAAAGCTACTGGTGCTGAAAGGCTTCAAAGAGTTGCATCACGTATTCGTCTGCTGGAGTAGGCTTTAACGAGCATGCGAAAATTGCAAGCAAAGACAACTGATGTTAAGGACTACTGCGAACCTGAATTTGAGTCGGATGCTCTTATCAATGAATGATCGCGATTTATTCCGGCCGACGATTGTGTGCTCCCGCCCGAAGTTGCCATCTGCTAGTCATTGTTAAAACCGGTTAATAGCGTCCCCGCGTTCTGTCCATAGTTCAGTTGGTTTGTCCGTCGGCATCTGTTGGTGCCCGGGTTCGATTCCAATCCCGGGCGCTTTGCTCCGGTCTGCAAGCTGACAGTAACCTGTGTCCGGAACGCAAATCCAGCGATTTGGACCCAGCACGTCATCCTGTCTTCCAAAACGCGAAATGATCACATTCGATGGAGATCCTGCCCGCTATTGGCTGTTTATGCGATGCTTCGAAGCCAATGTTTCCAGAACTACTTCCGATCCAACTACCAGTCTTTCATATCTGATACAGTACCGTTATGGCGAAGCCAAAGAATCTATTGAAAGTTGCTTGATATACGACCCTAGTGAAGGTTTTGAAGAAGCAATGAACATTTTGCACAGACGCTTCGGACGGCCCCACATGATTACTAGGACTCACATTAATGCTTTTACTGATGGCCCTAACATCAGGCCAGATGATTTCGCGGCTCAGTCTCGTTTAGCTGTGGAGCTGGGTTCATGCTACTTGACGTTAAAACAATTGAGGTATGAATTCGAGTTGAACGAGTCCAGAACAAACAGCTGTATCATCAGGAGGCTGCCCAACCATCTGCAATTCAAGTTGGCCGAGCATGCCGTCAGAGTAATCCGCACTGAAAGAGAACCGAACTTCACTGATTTGACAGATTTCGTGGATGAAACCGCAGACATCGTCGATACTTACTTGTCCTTTGCCGCACGTCCCTGTGGATCACCGACCAGCACCGATAGAGGCAGAAGCTTAAACTCTCGGGGATATGCCGCTTGCCTAAACATTGCGGCTTCATCATAACGAAATTTCCTTAAATGTGTTTCCTGTGAACAACGCTACTATTTAGATCAGTGCGATAATTTCCGAAAACTCAACCTCAACAAACGTCTTGAATTCTGTCGCGCCCATAGACTGTGTCAGCACTGTCTCAAACTGAATCATGACTTACCAAGTTGTCGATCATGAAGGTGTTTTGGGTCGAACAATTGTAAGCTGCTGCACCACCCGCTACTCCACGTTGATCGAAACAAGTTCGGAACACCAAACACTAAAGGATCCAGTTTTGCTCCCAGTCACGTCGAACGCTCTGTTGTATCACTTGGCTTGTTGCCTGTGCTTGTTTCTGGGCCTCCTGGCACTACTCGAACATTAGCCTTAATAGATAATTGATCGGATACTTCACGCATTGATTCAACATTACTATAAGTTATCGTGGTTCAAGGGTCCGTGACGACACTCAACATTAGCACCGTTGCTGGCCGATGAAAAGTGGAGTCCCAGTTGGTTAGTGTAACTGTTCGATCTATAGATGGTGATGAGGCGGTCCAATTGGATTAAATTAGGTCAGTCAGTCATCTCACTGAAAAAGTTGGAACGAGAAACAGGAACAACAATTCCAACAGATGGTCCCACCTCTCCGATCTACCGTTACCGGAGCTGGAAGGAAGGGTTGTACTTTTGACTGGTTGCGATAACCCATACCTACACTGGGCATTAGATCAGAGACGCGGGGACCCTGGTGATCCGTATGCTGTTAAAACTCCATTGGGCTGAATCGTACTGGGACCGAACAAACAGCACGAGACTATGAGTGATCAATCCACATTACTGATAGTTGAGCGAACACGGAGGATCAACGCACTTCGCTGCGATACCACTGATCTTCATCAACTACTAGAGCAAATGTATGAAAGGGAATTTGACGGGCTAGAAAGTCCAGGACTAGTCATGTCTGCGTTAAAACTAATGGAAGCTACTAAAAGAAACGTTGGTGCCCACTACGAGATTGCATTACCATGGCAAGCCGAGAGACCTCGGTTACCAGATAACCGACAATTCGCACTGAAGACGCTTGTCGTGTTGAAGAAACGTTTGTCGAAGTAGGCGGCACTGCGCCAAGCATACAACAAGGCAGTGGAAGAATATATATTTAAAGGATATGCTGAACTCGCTTCATTACAGGAACAGCAGACTAAGTGGAAACTTGGTACATACCCCACCACTCGGTATCGTAACCAGGTACGTCCGATAAAGTGCGAGTGGTCTTCGATTGATAAGCTTCATACCGTGGAACGTCTCTCAATCAACAACTTCTACCTGGTTCCGATATATCAAACAGTCTAGTGGGGACGCTTTTACGGTTCAGATTTCACCCGATCGCCGTCCCGTCCGACATTGAAGCCGTGTTTCATCAGGTCAAGGTTCCTATTAAGGATCGGAATTGTTTGAGGTTCCTGTAGTGGAAGAATGGCAATCTTTATTCACCCTTTATTGAATACAGCATGAGTGTACATCCGGTTGGCGTTACTTCGTCATCAAGCTGTGCTAACTTTGCGTTACAACAAGCTATCGTTAACAGTTATTGTGAATCCCAAACAAAGGCTATAGAAGTAGCAGGGAACTGTTTTTATGTCGACGATTGTTTAGTTAGTGTTGATTCTGTTCCTGAAGCAATTGAACCTGTTATACATCTTACCAGCATTCTGTCCGACGGAGGATTTCATTTGACGAAATGGATCAGTAATCGGAAGGAGGTTATCGCGGATTTACCTGACAGCGAACTGAAGGTTCTCGGAATAAGATATTCGACTGAGGACGATTGTGTTATAACTGCACCTGGTTTAAACTGGAACGTCACCCAGGACCACCTAAGTTTTATGCTGAAAGGTTTTAATAAAACGTTGACACGAAGAGCCATCAACTCGTTTGTAGCTTCTGTCTATGATCCTCTCGGTCTCATTGCTCCCATGCTACTTCAGGCAAAGGTAATGTTATAGTTTCCTATAATAAAAGCTGGATTAGGATGAGCCTCTTCCCGCAGAGGATTACCAAGCTTGGAAGAAATGGTTTTCAAACGCCAATGATCTGAACAGATTGTCCGTCGAACGCTGTATTAATCCATTCGGATGCAATGTATCGTCTGTGCAATTGCATTGTTTTTCGGATGCGTCTGATGCTGCTCTATAGTTGCGTTGCGAGGTTGATGAAGGCAACGTTAGCAGTTACCTGATTATTAGTAAATCACGTGTCAGTCCCATTAGAACGGTGTTGATACCAAGGTTGGAGCTAACTGCTTCCGTACTGAACGTATGCACGTCAGCAAAAGTCAGAGAGGAGATGGCACTCCATTGTAGCACAACGTTCTGGACAGACTCGATGGTAGTTCTGAAGCTTCTTCGAAGTGTTAATGAGCGTTTTCCGACGTACGTTGCTAACCGGATTACCATTATACAACAATACTCTCGCCACAGTCAGTGGCACTAAGTAAAGTAAGTAAGCCGAACCCGGCTGATATGGCTTCACGTGGACTCGCAATGTCGCTCAAGAAGGAAATAAACCAATGGGGCCACAATTTCTCGTTCAGCCCCTTTCCTCATGGCCTATGCATCCGGAGAATCTGGGTGAATTACCGCTGGAATAGTTACGACCCGAGGTTGGTTAATTTGGAGGAGCGCTGGATTAATAAATTTACGGTTTGCCCGACATGGACTTCCCTGCGCAAATATTTCGCTACCTTCTTGCGATTCAAATCTTATTTCGTCGCCAAATACCTGAGGCGCGCTGCACCTGACCAACCAGCTGAGATAGAAAGTGCTGAAATTCGACAAGATACGCTTCAGATAGTTAAGTTGGTGCAGTCAGATTTTGCGGAGATGCGCCTCCTTGCGTACAACGAACCCGACATAGCAGTTCGAAATTTAAAACTGAGGTCATGCAGATTAAGACGACTCAAGCCCTTCCTCATTAATGGGATATTTCAGGTGGGCGGTAGGCTGGATCAACTCTCGGTACCGTACAACGCGAGGTATCCGATTTTACTTCCCGGCCGCTACTTTGTCACTCGCCTTCTTATACTTCACTACCACTACATCAATGGACACTGGTGCGCAGCACACCTTGTACAATCTTCATTGACGTTATTGGAAGGTGGGTGAACTTTCATCCATAAGGCGCGTGCTCTACAAATGTGCCAAATGCCGCGTTAACCATGCGAAGCCACTGAGTCAGCTGATGGCACCAGTTATAACAGACCAATGCCTGACCTACCAACCAGCGTTCATTGCAGTGGGGATCGACTATTTTGGACCGCTAATAGTGAAACGTGGCCGCGTACATGAAAAGTGATATGGCTGTTTGTTCAGTTGTTTACGTACCTTATTTACGACGTGATTATAATCACGTCACGTTAAGATCTAACTTCCAAGCGACGAAAGAGACGTTGACTAAGTTAGACGTATTGGAAGGGCGCATGAAGTAGGAGCCGAGTGAGGTGTGTGCCGAGCACTGGCTCGAACGGAGTCATTACATTGCAATTTGTTCCATATGACTACGTGATTGTAAAGTTCGAAGATAACGTTTTGGGAACAACTGTTCAACCTGCACGTTCTTATAGAAACGACAATATCGAAGATTCTGCAGCGTCGGAGATGCAGCACAAGTATGGATGCACCAACACCAAGTGTCGACAGTACGCAACAACAAAACTATAAGAAATGAAGAATCACATTCAGAAGTAACGGATCAAGAAACAATGAGCCCGGAGCCAAAAGCAAGAGCAATTGCTTAGGGTTTACGAATCCATAGCCTTAAGGGGGCGCCAAGGCGCAAGAATCGAAACAGTAAGTGAGGGTATCTTCATTAACAAGAATGTTTCTCAAAACATTAAGAACAACTCACCCAGTATGATAAGCGTTTCAGAGACTGATACCGCTTTCGCTTCAGAGGCGTTCCTATAAGAATGTTGCGGTGATAACTGGACAGACCGATTGAATCTCGGCGCATGAATAGTAGCGGTGCGGTAATCGCTGGTGGTAGCAGCCGTTGGCAGATGAATAACATCCGAAGGAAGTGGTAATACATTTGGAATAGGCGCAGAGCGCATGGATCTCTCTGACGCAGCACTGCAAGTAAGGTTCGATTTATCTAGATAGGTAGATAAAGTGGGTGCCGCAAAAGGGGGAACAGTGGAACCGTCTTGATGGGACATTTCCACAGATGTGGCGTCAAGTATATCTTCCTCTAATCCGCGATAAGTTGGTTGTTCTCGAAACCATATTCCAGACGGTAGGGAAGTGGCATTTTCGTTATATGAAAGCTCACGAGAGCAGCTTCGATGCATCGGGGATGTACTCATAGAAGATAGTGAATGGACCATGGAGATAACAGGTAGACAATTTCTGCCATGCGCTTGGATGGGATCACTTATGAAACTGGTGGGTGTTACACAGTTAGACGGAGAAACGAAAGAGTCATGGGGTTTCGAAAGAAAGGCACAGGGATCACAGCGAATAGAAGACGAAGGAAGCAAGGATGTGGGCATTTGGCAAGGAGTTCCGTTCGTAGGAGGCATGAAGGACACTGAAGAGGAGATAATCGTATGGTTAGCGGACAGAGCAGGCGCGGAGAGCACTGTACTGGTGGGCGTAGGAAAGTGCACTCGTCTCAGCAAGACACCAAACGACAAACTGGTTGACACAGATGCCGGTGCGCCGTTTGCAATTGCGTAACGATGACGTTGTTCCATATGCCGATAGACACGCGCAACTTTGGAGGCCCTATAAAAATAAGACAGAGGGAAACGTGCATAGCAGGCCCACATCATCCAGCTAGACAAGAGAGACGTCGAGGTCCAATCGCACGGGTTCTCATACGTAGGTGAACTTACGTGAAAAGGCAGTGAGCGCAGCGGAAATTGTTGTTGTTTAAGGAGGCGGATGAAGTGACAACCACTGAAGACATGTGTGATGAAGAAACAGGATGCTGAGGACGATAGTGAATAACGCTAGACATGGCACGGCAACCATGTGAGCTGCTCGTGACTTGTGTCAAGTTTCGGGACGAGGCAGACACAGTGATGGGTTGATGAGCAGAGGTCTCTGCGAAAAGAAGAGGCACACGACGGCTGAGAGGATGGAAGGTGAGCAAAAGTGAGCTGCCGACGATGAAACGAATCAGAAAAGCAGGTAAACCGAAGTACTGAGATGGAAAGCAGGCAGGATTTGCGCACGCAGTAGACGCATGGGCTGATCCATGAAAGCACCATGTGAACGTGGTGTTTACAAGACAGTAATCTAAGCATTCGCCCTTCGAGTTTTCAAATGCGATGCGGACATAGCTACTGTGTAATGGAAATCGGAACCTCGGAGGTCAATCACCGTCCTCTACAGTGATGGCAGTGGAGGATAGGTTGCGCTATATCCCAGTTAGCTTGCAAGTGCAGACGGTGTGCATCGGGACCCATTGTCCAGTGACATATTGTCATCATCATACTTATCATACACGTTAGCTAGAGGTGTAAATCACAGCAATTGTACCATGACACATAGGAAAAGAACCTACAGAGGCACGCCAGCTTCGCCAGCAGTAACGGATGAGCACCTTTCCGGAGAGCTACAAGCGGGCTAATGTATCGCAAAAAATGAATAGTATTATGCCTAGGAAATGAGAACGTGATAGGAGGAGGCCAAGGGGGAGGGGATGGGACAAGGAAACTAACAAAAATGCTCAATGGTATAAGCTGCTGGCTAGTTGGCGTAAGCTTCTAACAGCCAGGGTACGATCCCCAGCAGGGGACCGTGGGAATGCGCATTGCTGATGAACTCCAGAAGGGCGAAACGGCCGGCTGGTGCTATTCTAGATTCCAGTTAAACTAATCTTGTTTGTGGTTATTTGAGTTGAACGAGTAAAATAACGTCAAAAATCCTCCTACTCATCAGTAAACAAAAGTTAGCTGGTGAAGACGTCACATGGATGGCGCCTAGAAAGGATCGGGGATCTCAAAAAAAACAAGGGACAACAAACAACAGAACTAAGTTTGTTAGGCAACCAGATGAAAACCTGGTGGTCCAATGCTCAGTCTGCTGTGCAATAGAATGACGTAACGGGTCATATCAACTGGACATATGCTAGTAATAAATTGAGAGAGCAAAATGTCTCAGAAAAAGAAACGGAAGCGCTATGGTTGAGCACCACTGAGTTTCAATGCATGCCGTTCAACTGGTTAGTCAAGCGCTTGGATATACAAAGAAGCAGAAAAACCCATGAACATACCTGGCGGCTGAGCGGAGAATCGCGAAATGGTGATAATACCGAGAGATGGGCGGGTGTGCTGCATGAGAAAAACAAGAGATGCGTAAGGTGGATGGTGTGTGGCAAAAACAGCGTTTAGAAGAGCAATACATGTTAAAGGAAAAAAGCTAGAACGGTTATCAAATCAATTAGGAAAAGTCTAGTGTGGGCTTCAGTGGCTGAACCGCCGATCAACATCCTTGTGGTGCCAGCTGCGGGGTTCGCGTTTATCCTATTCCAGCAAACGGTTCTACAATTGTGATCTAACAGGTGGTGGATTTTCACCTGGCGAGCTACCTCTCTGTGAAAAGCCACATATGTCCGTTTAATAACATTATAACGTGGCGGATGTGACTCGCCACTATCCCTTGCTTCACTCCAGTGGAGCGATCTGAAGCTGAAATTGGGAAGAGTGGTCCCCTGTTTGGTCAGCGACCAAACAAAAGGTGAATGAACTGAATAATCAATTACTGGTTCCCAATGGGTGCGATTCCATGAATTCGTCCTGCTGTCATGAGGGTAGACTATGCAGCCAAAGGCTCCGGATGATGTCCCCTAGGTCAACCCCAAGTTCGGCTTTGGCAAAAGGATAGTATCGTGCCTTCTGAAGAAACCGTGGATTCCTCTGTGTTATATAGCGTTTTATTTTTCGAAAATTGTACGTTCTTTTGGTTTCCATAGATTTTGTATGTTCGCAGACTGCTGGAAAATGATATCAGTGGGAGCGATGCTTCCACCTCAAGTCTACACAATTGGAGAAAGAATGGAAGTCGGTACCTGCGGAGAAAACATTAATGCGCGATAAACGCTCATGCAATTATGCGGTCTATCCGCTGTGCACGGATGCGGAGCACGGAAACAAGTAAGGTCACAAGCACTCACCACAGGGTTAGAAATGGGTTGTTGCAGAGAATCGCACGCTGGTATGCAGCTGCCATTTGAAAAGGCTAAGGTAAAAAAGAGAGGGCAATCGAGGTATAAAAAAAAGCTATCGATGAACGAAGGGTGTGCAATCAAATGTCCACCTCAACGGAAGTTGCGTTGAAAAGAACATCACAAGTGTTAAAGAAATGGGCGCCATTTTTAAACCTCAGTCGTCAGGAGTAGTGAGAGTAAAAGGCGGCAAATTGAACAGTGAATGACTCGGAGTAAGGTGAAATGGAAAACAGGCAACAATGACAATTCGTTGTTGATGAGGTTCGTTGCGATCAGAATCAGCCAGATAGAAGTTGCACAGCTAAGTGGCCGTCTAATCTAATTGGGGCTCGTCAATAGAGTCCATCTGCCCGATCCCGTCTGATCTGAAATCGTGACTTTACTCTTACGAGCTGTCGGATTAAGCCAGTGAATCGTGAGCAACGTCGGTGGACTGCAATGATTATTTAGTGACTGGAATGTAGTGCTGTTCACCATCCAGTTTCACATTTTATGAAGGTACAGAAAGCTTGAGTGGCCGTCATAAGTAAGAGTACTTTTGCAGACCTTTAGCAATCGGTATGGCCCGAGTTCGGATTCAGCAAAACCCCGAGGATGCGTGCTACTGACGAGCCCTACTAAGAGGAAATAACGGTCTAGCTCTTTTCCGGCGACGAGGAAACTGGTCAAAACACAAAAATTCCCTTACCGTCCTCACATGGCAGGTGGTCAAAAAACCAGGGCATGAAGAAAAGGAAAACTTGTACAAAGGAAGTCTGTAAAAGATGAAGCAAAGTTTTCCGAAGGAAAAGTTATTTCATCAGGAAAATTAACTAGGTCAGTAGGACTGAGGAGAGGTTAGCGGTTCAATACGGAAAATTTAAGTACATATCATTACGCATCGGTTCACTAGCAAATTGACAGAACTGGCCGTGGACTACGATGTTGGACTACTGATCTGATTGTTTCGAAAGACAAAGGTCCGTAGCCAGACAGAAAGAGACGTTGAGCGTTTTAACTCAGTTACACTGTGTCCAGATTAATATGACTGTCAGTGCGCTTTGTTATTGAGGAGAGTGAACCTGATTGAATGAAAGGTAGTTGACTATGAAGGCTTGGAATGTGGTAAAAATTGCACTCCGCAGTATTTCTGCGAATGGATGCTTTAAATGTCAGACAACACAGTTTCGTGAAAAATGATATTGCAGAGTGTGGCACAGCGCCTGGGTCGACAAGCATATGTAAGCGGGCGCATTAGAGAGGAAAACTACCACTGGAAAGTGATTTCATACGGAAGAAAAGAATACTCAATGTGCGCCCTCGGTCAAAGGATTCACCGTTCCGTTATATCGAAACTAACCACAGGGTGACCCAGTTGGAAGGCGGTGATGGGAATATTGTCAGTTGTCCGGAGCACGCACTATATACTAATAAACACGGAGCATCAACACAGTGCACCGAGTAAGGCGATAGCTGAATTCAGTTATGTCGAGCATTTTCGACACCCAGTTTGTGAAATTGCAGGTTGTACGATGAGACGCTGGTACGATAGTTAGCTGAACTTATTGAGCCCACTCGGCGAAAATCGCAGACCCGCTGTCGACCGACGTCGATAAGAAAAAAGTGCCCCTAACACTGTGATTCAGAAGGGACCAACTTGACAGAAGATTCAGACGCCGTCCCTGTCAATCCATAAAGAGATGTTGTTGCGCTGTCGAGCTGGCAGTTTTTCAGCAACTAGAAAGTTGCTGTTCAGATCCAACCTCTCGAGTTACCGTCTTACGCATTTAGCAGTTCCAATATGCGTGCGGTAGCAAGTACGTCGACCAAACGAAGACACAGTCTGCAAGAGTTTTAGAGCATATTCTGTGAAACGTGCTCGCGAATGGTCCGCCCGACAAATAACTGACTGCTTCATATGTAAAAACCCGCGTAAAACATTTAGAATGACCAACAATTACAACACCGCCCGACATGACCATAAACCATTTTTCACAAACGACGGTAAGCGTTTAGTGATTGCGAGGATACAAAAAAATTAAGTACTCACATACAGAGTGAGCGCCGATGTTTTGCAGAACACGAGTCCCTGAGACCACCGGTGGCTGAGAAGGAGGAGATAACTGGGGGAAATGTTTGAAGAAATATAATCAGGTGGAGCGAATATGTAGCTAAAAGCAAAATGATAACAAATGTTAAGAGTAAAATTGCAAAGATTAGCCGCAATGAGAAAAGGATATGAAGCGTCGCATCGCAGCTAGCGATAACATGGAAAACCTCTAGAAAATGTGTGCCTACTACACAGGTATCCGGGAGAACTGTGTCACGACAAGTGGAGTGGGGCGACCAAACTAAGAGTAACAATAGCTTATCAGTTATGTCAATGAAATACAGGAACGCGGGTTAAACGTGAGTAAAGTGTGCTGGAAATGAAACCAAATTGATCGGAAGTCTAGGCCTCGAAGAGGCAATGCTCAGATTTGCATATTGGAAACAGTAACCGCTGCAAAACAATTACTCACTAGTTGCAAGCATCCATCGCGAAGAGGCTAGACCTTGACGTGGTGCGATGGTTTGTGTGCTTCAGTGATCCATTGAGATATGCTGGGTGGTTTTTTGCACCTTCAGAGTCACTCATACCAGATTGGTTAATGGTTAGATGCCAGACAAACTCAGCCTCCTGGCCCTTCAGATTGTGGGTTGGAATGTGGTGGCTCCTAACTCCTTAAAACGGACTCCTTGTAGTCCAACACCAAACCCGCTGCTTTGCGGTAAGGTTTTTGTACCAAAGCCTTTGATTGGGAACCCTAATTGTTCTCCTGTCTAGGCCTGAGCAACCTGACAGTATTCTGCCCACGCAATACAATGAACCTACCGTTTAGCCATTTCTTGATGCTCTGGCCGTCGCAGAGGATAATCAACAATGTCCTATCCGCTGCATCGAGCAGGGTGCATAGCGTTTGAATGTTACTGCTCAGACCTTCCCGTCTTCTTATACCCCTTCTTGCGCTTCTTCATCCCTATCGTCCCGCTCCAACTTTTAGCCTCCATTTTCAATCCCCCAATTTTCGGCCCTCCCTCACCTTGGTTTAATAGTCGCTTGTCTTCTAGTTTCAACACAGACACAACCGCAGGGCGTCACTCCAATCCAGTCGACATGTCCATGTTTAACCAAGCAGACATGACTTCGTCCGTTTCACTTTGGAATCCTCGATCCTCGCTAAGACTAGCATGCCACAACGTGCGCCCCTTGCAACAGGTAGGCCAATAGGCAGCACTTGCCCGCACCCTAGAGACCCCATTGATCGATATTTGCTGTTTATCAGAAACCCGTCTGCAAGATTCGAGCTCCGTGGGTTACCCTGCGATCCCCCACATGCGACACTGGCGGCACATTCTCATTGTGCCTGTCTGGCGATGATGCAGCTTCAAATGCCGGTCAAGCTGGCGTCGGCATTGTTTTGAGTCCCCGGGCTGAAGCTGCACTGATCGATTGGATCCCAGCCAACAGTCGGATATACGCCGTTAGATTAGCTGGTTCGTTCCATGCTACAAAGTTGCACAGGAACAAACGGTGCCTGTTTGTCATTGCGGCCTACGCCCCTACAAAATGTAGCATTGATTAGGTGAGAGATGATTTCTATCAGCAACTCCACAATCTCCTTTGTCACAGAAGAAGTACGGATACTGTGGTGTTGGCTGGCGATCTAAACGCCCAAATCGGAAAATTATCCTCCGATGAGCTTTATCTGCGCAGCCAACATCGTGTAGACTCCCGAAATAATAACGGTGAGCGATTGCTAAAACTGTGTGAAGATGCACGGCACTTTCTCGCGAGCACGAACTTTCGACACAGCAACTGCAGGCGCGCACCAGCCTCGAGCCAGCCATGGACGTAAATCGATCACATCGATCAGTTACCGTTGGAGAGGCTGTGTCCAAAACTGTCGCTCGATTTGGAGCACGAGCATGGACTCTGACCAAGCAGTTGTCTGCGCCGGCCTTCGGGTGCGTTTCGGTGGAAGTCCGCAACGTCAATGTGAACGGATCGACACCAGCCATATGACAAAGCCAGGTGTTCTGAATGTGTATCAAAGTGTGCTGACATCCGGGCTGAGTAAGCGCCCACTGAACACCGTTGAAGATCACTGGTCGCATATTCGTCAAACGTTACTATCAGAGGCATGTCTTCATATGACTAAGCAAATTGGCAAACTGGACAGTCTCTGGAACTTATGGATGCTCGCCGACGTATTCCGGTTAGAAGCGAATAAAATGAGGCTCGCAAGAATCTCAGGGCAAAACTACGCACTAGCCTGAAGAAAGATCGCGAAGTCTGGTGATCTCATCGCGCATCAGAGATGGAAACAGTCGCTACTGTTGGCAATCCTCGTAAGTTATTCCGTCTGATACGGGAAACAAGTAGTAGAAGACCTGGTGCTAGCGAGACCATCCGCGATGAGAGTGCGCAGCCGAAACGCAGCCTGTCAAAACGCTTACAGTGTTGGGTGGGACACTTTGCAAGGCAATTTAACCAACGTGTTATCGGTTCCTTTTTCGGGCATTGAGCGCCCTTCTCTCTGGGCCGCCTCCTTGGATCCGCCCGCACGCGCAGAAGTCGAACGTGAGATCAGGCTGTTGAAATTGCCGCAGGAGCCGACAGAATTCCCCCAGCCCTCTTCGAATTCGGGGGACCTTCTCTAGTAGATCATTTACGCGAATTGCTAGTGACACTTTAGGAGCAGGAGACTGTTCCGACAGATTGGAGCCGCTCCGTCATTGCCCCAATTTTAAAGGGAGGCTCCCGTTCCGAAAAGGGCAATCATAGAGGGATCAGTCTGATATCAACTGCCTCTAAACTGTTTGCATCGCCATTCTCCACAGACTGACTGGCACCTGTGAAAGCCAGATTCGTGAAGAGGAAGTCGGGTTTCGTCGAGGTTGGGGCTGCACCAACCACATCTTCACCTTGCGTCAATTGTTGGAGCACCGCCATGTGCATTGGCGGCCCACCGTTGTCGTGTTTCTTGACATAAAAGGTGCCTTCGACTCAGTCGATCGATGTGCCCTTTGGGACTGTCTGTTGTGGAAAGGTGTGCCTGATAAATAGATAAACATTATCAAAGCGCTGTACGCGCATAGTTCGGCCAGACTGAGGGTTTATAACAAACTGTCGCCACCCTTCAGTATCACTAGCAGTGTGAGACAAGGTTACCCGCTCTCACCTATCCTATTTAACTTGGTAGTTGACGAATTCATGGAATCAGTATTCGCTGGACATGACCTAGAAAATGTGGAGCTACTTCCTTGTGAACGACTTCTTGACTTGTAGTACGCAGACGATATTGCGCTCATATGTGACAGCTCCCAAACATGCCAAGCAGCATTGGACCGATTAGCACTGGCTGTCCATCGTTTTGGGCTATACTTTACTCCATCGAAATGCAAAGTACCTCTCCAAGATTGGTAGGGACCCACCCCTGCGCTAACGCTTTGTGATCTGCTAGACGTCCTTCGGGAATTCAACTACCTGGGTAGCTATATCAGCGCAAGTGGGATGGAAGATGAGGTTACGAACCGTATAGCAAAAGCTCGAGGTGCTTTTGCCAATCTCTGCCACTTGTGGCGCAGACGCGACATTACTCCCACCCTGAAGGGCACAGTTTATAACCCAGCCGTCCGTTCAACTCTCCTATATGGTTGGGAAACCAAGCCCATCAGGTCGACAGACATAAAGAAGCTCGTCACATTCGATCATCTCTGCCTTCGCAGTTAGATCATGTCTGGTGGGAGCACCGTGTGAGCCATCTGCGGTCGGCGTCGCGTATTTGGTGCAGAAAGAGCAAGTGAACCGCTAAGCACCATCACATCACGCAACAGGCTCAGATGGACGGGCCACGTGTTGCGCATGCCAGCACACCGAATTCCGCGACGTGCACTGGATGCGGCTGGAAGAGGAGGGGAGGCCAAGCGATGACTTGGTCGAGAGAGATGAAAACCCTCACTTCGAAGTTGGAGTCGGTTGGTACATCCCAACTGCCTGAATGGGGTCCTAAGGACGATTAACACGTTTGGTTGGACACACCCGCTGATTTGGCTAGGAGCCCCAATGGCGTTTGTGTTGTGAATTCCTTTGTTTATCTCCCTTCTGCTTAGCATCCCGCTCCAATCACAGTCGCACTCGTTAGGCATAATATAAGTTCTTGCGGCACGATAGCCAGCTGTTAGCTCTCCGGAACTAGGTCCATCCGTTACTGGGGACTCAACTGGCGTGCCACTGTTTTTTAATTTGTCTTCTTGTCTTTAGTATTGTAACACAATAGCTGAGGTGTTTTCCATCTGCAGCTTACGGGTGCATGACAGAAGTGCTTTGCCAATATGTGCATGGGGCGAATCACCTAATGAATGAGTTTCCGTTTACATTCGATCAGCTATGAAATAATTATATCATGTTCAAAGGCAATCAAGGCGCGAGATCGTAATGGTTAAGGGAAACCTAGCAACAATGTCATCACGGCAAGGAGGCTGGCCATAAACGGTGACTATTTGTACATATTGGATCTCAATCGAGAAATCACTAGAGCCACAGCAACTAAGCAAACGAATGAGAGAGAAACAAGCATTATACCGGTCTCGGGTGTCCGATAAGAAGGGTAGAGAGCGGCTTGGAGCCGATTGCGACCAGATAGGGTGGAGAGTGTTTTTTAACCGCTGCACACATACTCCTCCCAGTTCGACTAACGTGACTGATAGCACATGCACAGTGTGAAAGAGGTATGTGCATGACGCGGAATCTTGAGGGTCTGGGCTGGTTAGGTTGGATTCACATTGCGATTTCCTAAGTAGATTCAATAAGCCAAGTCTGGCAGCCTAAGACAAGCGTAATGTGATGAAGGTGATATCATAATCTCTTATCACGGTAGTACCGCACTAGACAACAACAACTTAGACATTAGTCAAACACTTCACTGGTAATTGAGTACGTGTGTTCTGCTACAAGTGTTGCATGAGCATCCGTTTGCACTTAGTGCTAACAAGTCGTACTTCGTTATCGATCATCTTCAAGTAGAATTTTGTAAGCCATTGCAAAATGGGCGCCAATTACTATCGTTTGTAGTTAATAGGGTAGAAAACTATCGACTTGCCAACACAGACTTGTTATGGTACCGAGATAGAGTAGGTGCACTGTCGTCTGGATCTCTCGTTGGGTTTGCGCCGAAGAAGAAGCGCACCTATGCCGTGTCCCATGGTGAATTTCACGGCACAGTGGCATCCGTCCGTAACATGAAGTAGTTGCACTACTTTTGTCAAGAACATTACATTACATATTATAGGTTTCACAAAAAATCGTAATCGTTTCGAAATTCCAACATTCGCCTCACACAATAAGGTTTGAACTTATGTCTGGCCACCAAGGTTGGTAGTCACTTGCGTTGTAGAGAGGGGAAGGATGAATGGGGGTAGTGGCGAATTGCGAGGCAGGGTGTACCGACCTGAGCTAATGTAGGGTTTGGTTGTAATTCGTTTGACTGCGTAGCTCAAATTGGCCAAGTGTAGCGCAGAAACGGACGTGTATTCATCGCCTCAAAACGATGCGCTACTCCCATGTTAGTCATACCTTCGCCGTAAAACGGTTAGCAGGTTCAAGTGGAAACAAACAGAAAAGATGTTACCAGGATATTCGCTGCTAAAAGTGGATAATCCTGCAGATATTTTTCACTTCGCAAAATTCCCGCTATGATTGTGCTCCCTCGAATCCTACTAGCAACAATATAGTCTAAAGTCAAAGCTCGTGCCATGCACCTGGGTCTGATGATGAACTAAGGGAAAAGGGTTATATTCATCAACTCTTGCTTGAATCTGCAAAGGTGGAAGAAAACCACTGCGATGATGGGATGATAGATAGTGATTGGAAATTTTAATGTGACGACAATGGAAAATGAATAGCAAGCGAGATACTGAGAGCCCCACCTGATGCGTAACGTGGCTAGAATCAGTAAGAGACGTTGCAGGTAAGCAACAGGTGGTGTGTGACGACGGAGTGGATATCGCGGCGACGCTATTTACCGCCAGTTGTCCCTGTGAACTCACTAACGGGTCTGTTGTCGGATGCGAGCGAGGAGGAACGACTTGAACGTGACGCCATTTGATTGTTAGAAATGGGTAGTCCAGTGACGCCACACGGCAACTGAGTCCTACTGACGTGAAAGGCAAGGCAGTTGAAGTGCCCATTGCCAGAGGGTGCTTCACGAGACGCGACGATGAGACCAAAGAAGAAGGGTTGGGATTGAGCAGGGGCTGCGTGGTAGAATACAGAATAAAGCACACCCATTGGGAAGTACAAAGCTTTTGTGGAAAACAAGTCGTCTTTAAGTGTTCAAATTTGCATAGGAAGTGGGTTCAAATATTTCAACGCTAAGCAACATAGGTGACGAAAATTATCACGGCTGATCACAAACTAGATCTTAGGTGTTGGTAATCGTAAACCATCGTGTTTGAGTGCTGTGGAAGGACTGAATAATTTTGACTAGTCTTTATCAGTATGGAAGAGCTGTGGCAACCACAAGAACCTGAGAGAAGGGATTACGCAGACCGTTCTGATCGTTGCCCTGTAATTGGTAAGTCTGGTTGCATGCACGTTATGGAATCAGACGTTTTATTATCCGTCCGAGTGTTCGGAATATCAGATCAATATCACCAAGCAATTTTAAAGAATATTTTGTGAGGAACCATGCTTCGAAGACTACTTCTTTCGCATTCCCCCATTTGCAGGGATCTGTTTTGATTCAGTTGAAGTAAGGTTGCACTTCGCCCACGTACATTCAGTTTAAAGTGGGTGGGTAGTGTCTCTCGTGGGCTGCCTGGTGTTGTCGTACCTTCATAAGCAGTTCTCCTCTAATCCAAATAGTTTCTAGCACAATTTTGACGCACAATCATATGGCAAATATGCGATTCCAGTTTTCTTTCCGATTTTGACGTCCAAGCGTTAAAGGTAAGCATCACAGAACGTCTAGACAATGAAAATAAAACGTTTACGAAAATGACAAGAAGCAGTATATGCAAGCATCTCAATTTGCGCCTCAACATGTTTCAGCTCGGCCGAAAACTCGTGTACAAGTGAAGGGAGCATCAGAGGGATCCTACTTCTATCGAACTCTGCAGAGACCGTTGTAAGGAAAATAGAGAAATTCATGCTACAGATAATTAACCCCCGGGGTAGCCACTAACGAGTACGTGTTAAGGGGTGAGGTCAAATGAACAAACTTCGACGTTCGTCGTCTTCATCTTCGTTGTTCTCATTACTCTTATTGCAGTTAAGTCTTACGTTTCCATTTTCTAGACATCCTTCATGATCCAAACATTGAGTGTAACACAAACAACATCCCATAATCCTGAACGGTCTTGGGCGAAGCAACGTCACGTTATTTAAAAGGTGTACATCATTTTTACTCATGGTAAACTCATTTTCTTGCTTTCAAAAAGCATCTTTTCAAGAGTTTCATACTCATATTCAGATAAAGGCATCCATTGCAGCATCATATAACACACTGATACAACAATCAACTTAATGTTCTGTCAAATCGAAAATCGATTTGCAACACTGTTAAACATTATCCGATTGTTTATGATCATTGCACTAGGAATTCATTTAATAACCTGACCAGGCCGTAACAGGCGCGTCTCTCTGTAAACTAGAATGTACTATTTGTTTATTTTTTTAATTAAATGATATGGTTGTAATGTTCAAACGAAGCAAAGCAGAAATCCGTGCACCAGCTACTCAACAAGTTCACGGAAGATATCCGGAGCACAGTGGAAATGGAGGTGCTAGTGAAAGTCAAATTCGAGAGAAGCAAGCCGGATTTCGCCGCAATCGATGCTGTAATGACCACATCTTCAACTTACGCCAATTGCTGCAAAACCGTCATGTTAATTGGCCCTCTAACTTCGTGTTCTGCGACGTCAAAAGTGCCTTCGATTCCGCTGATCGAAAGGTGTGTTCGAAAAAGATGTAAATGTTGTCCGAAAGTTTAAGGCGTGCAGTTTACGGCAAGCTGTCGTCCAACATCTCCAGCGGTATGAGACGAGGTTGCTTACTGTCACCTTTCCTTTTCAACTACTCCATCGACGAGATAACGGAAATTGCGTTCACTGGTCATGGTCTGCAAGGTGTGGAGCTGCTCCTAGGTGAAGGACTTGTTGACTTAAAGTATACCGAAGACACTGCGCTAATCCTTGACAGCTCACAAACGTACCAAACAGCACTGGGTGTCATTCGTTTTGGTTATGCTTTGAACCGCCGAAATGCAAAGCCCTTCTTCAAGATTGGCAGGGAACTACTCCTGCGCTGACCATTGGTGGGGATCATCTAGAATTCGCCCAGATATTCAAGTACCTTGGCAGTCACATTAGCTCGGTGAAATAGGTCGCGAACTCTGTAGCAAAAGCTCGATGCGCCTTTGTTAATCCCTGCCACCCGTGGGGCTGGGGTGACATCACCTTCGCCCCGAAGAGCAGAGTTTATAACGAGGCCTTGTGTTGAACTCTTATGAAGGGTTGCGAAATCTGGCTCATTAAGTTGACAGAAATAAAGTGGCTTGTTACGTCTGACCATCGCTACCTTTGCATGTTAGATCATGTCTGGTGTGAGAGCCAATTGAGCAATGGGTGTGTTCGGCGTCGCGTATTTGGTGCTGGGTCCCAAGGACGGTGAACCCGTTGAATTGGATACACTTGTCGACATGAGGAAGCGCCGATCTCAGTGGAGTTTGTGTTGGGAGTTCCTTCACCCTCCCCTCCTTCTTTTTCCAACAACGATCTCACACTACAAGGAAAACTGACAAGTATTATTTACTTTGTCTCCGTGTTCTGTAAAGTTTAGTATCTCTCCTTTCATATAACTAATCTTTGTATTGCGGCCCAGCTGAAGTGCTTCTCACCTTCAGCTAACGTGCAATGATGATGGAGACGATGATGTAAGGGAAATGGTAAACAAGTGTCCTAGCTCGGGCGCATTAGAGAGCTACAGTTAGGGAGCTACAGTTAACAGATGGGGGTGGGGGCAAAAGCACACAAAGACACATGGAGGAAGCCATGTATTTTGAACAATAATCACGCACAAAGCAACAAGATAGGCTATGTGTGAACTATCTGCCTAAAGAAGATATTATGTCAAGAGCAAAGAGTAGTTGTAACAAATCGATTTGGATCTCAAACATAGTCGATGTTACAAACAAAGTATATTTCCAGACAGGCGGGGGCACGTTCTCAATTGACAGGCGATCGCCTCAAGGAATCGAAACACATCCGTATTGAGAAATACTCATTCAGGTAATGTCGACGCAGTTTGTTGACGAAATGCAAAAACCACACGGCTACAAGTTCAAAAATTGTTCAAGTGAAAAACGGGTCGTTCTTTCGTTCAGGCGAATAGAGTGAAGATGAACGACACCTGGTTATCATAGCATCACTTAGCTTTGGTGCACATAAACTATAAGTGGGGATCGTTTTGAAGCACTTGTGGTTTGAATGAATTGCGACAAGGAGCCTAAATCTGGATCACGATACACGCTGAAGTGAAGCCTCATCAATTCGCTCATTGGGAGCTCGTTCGTTCGATTTGGTCGCAGTGTATGTGGATGAAAACGAGAATAGTTGCAAAGGAACTCAAACAGAAACCTTAGCACACGGAGAAGGAAGAAAGACATCAAATGTACGCCAGTACACCCTAAAAAGTCGCGCGTGGGCTAAGGGTACTGAGAGGGTCCCTCGGTCCACTACGATAACTAATCCATGACCTCATGTGACAAGGCATACAAGGCTACATGCAGGCAAAGAGGAAAAAACACTTTCGAAGAGCAGTTGTTCGCCAAAAACGCAACAAACACATCGATATACAGGCTCGGTAGATCAAAGATTTAGATGGAAGTACTAAAAGGCATTGAAAAAAGCCGCATGTGATCAAACGAATCACTCGCAGGACAATGAGGGGATCAGTACGAGCAAGCCCACGTCGCAAACCACGCGTCCCTTGCACCAACATCATTGCGACCGGACTTCATACGCCAAAAGTAAAAAGAAAGTAATCGCAGACCTCGAATGGGTTTTCAATGTGTATGAATTAGAGCAAATAACACCCGTAAAGTTTGTGATGGCGAGTAATCGGGAAAGATACTGCTTAATGCCATGCACCAGCAATGCCACATCGTTGGGTGGTGAAACATTAGCAAGTCAACAGTCAAGCCTGGTGAGCATAACAGAACTATAAAATTAAAGTATAAGAAGTTCAAGGCCGTATTTAAGGACGCTTCCTATAATGTGATTTAAGGCGTTGAAGCAAACTTTTATAATTTCGTCGGTTAAAATTTTAGATAACACACTAATCCTAATTATTTCGAAATTATCTTAACCAGTACAGGTTTATATTGGAGAAAATTACGTTTCTCGTATGAGATTAAATGGCAGATAAAATGGAAAATTTATAAAGCGGAGCGCTTCAGTTAAAAGTAGCAAACTTTCATCATAGTTGTCTTAGGTTAGATGCCTAGAGTACACTGGCACATATAAGCAGTTAAAATGTGCATCCATGAAATGCAACCACCTGCGCGTTTTAAAGAACGTCAGGACACAGTGAGATGTTGATTGTCTGGGCTAACTAAATTATTGTTAACATGGTTGAGAATGTGTGTGAAAATGTAGTAATCCTATAGTAATGCAGCGTGAAACAGGATGAACCGTAATAATATGCACTTTCATGTTAATGCCTTTTTCTTTATTAGAAATGCATGTAATGCATGTATGTAAATGCATGCATGTAAATTTCAATTTGTTAAATCCTTTTCCTTCAACGGGGATCTTAAAATGTATTCCGTACAAGATGTTATCACTATGGTAGAAACAGTTAAAGGTGTTTTGGAAGGCAAATTCACATTACTACTCCGAGGGATGGACAAAACTGATGATGATATCAACGAAGTGATTCAGGATGCTGGATCTAGTGATGACCTGTCAGCGAGGCAGTTACTCAGTGATGTTTATGATAGCTTAGCATTGTCTCATAGAGCAGCAAATACAGGCAACAGGAGACAAAAAGTAGCACTAAAAGTATACAAGAGGAAATTGCTGACCCTACGCTTGTTTCCTCAACAAAAGTTTAAAAGAATACCAGATTTAGACTATGGAAAAAGGCTTATGTCTAGCTTCAGACTCAGAGACAATGGTCTGAATGTACAATTTAAAGTAGGAACCTAAATCGTACAAATCATTCGAAAGCTTCTTGGAAAACTCTGTTATCGAACATATGATAAGGAAGACAATCGAGTACAACCATACAAAAAATAAAGACCCATTCAGTGTAAACACGTTTGAAATTCGTGATCTTCTAGCCATTCCGTTTATCTTAATTATAATACATCACCACGATGGCACATGTATTGGGATTCGAAGCAAAATGTCAGCAATTCATTCGTCAATGAACCGAAACGGACTGGACATAACCATGAAGTATCTCCATCTGGCAAATAATGATAATATTCAAGCCGATGACAAAGTTGCTAAACTTCGACCCCCCTATAATCTCAATGCAATATGTATGAAATTATTCCAAGTGGAAAAATGTGTGCGCATATCTGGTCAGGAAATGAGGTTTCATATTTTCTTCTTAACCCACAAGTCAAGGTATCATGTTTCTGTGGGCCTACAATTGGACAGTATGAAAAATCACCATATTTCCACAAATAATTCAAGTTTACAAAATCCAAACCTCATTTCAGTTTTCTTCACCATTTTCTAAAACATGCAAAAGCAAGAGAATCTCAAACTGCAGGTGAATGTGTAAGTTAGTGAACTGTACTCACGCTGAGTTCAGAGTTTGCAGGTCTGCTAAGGTTGGTAGGTTGGTTAGGCAAAGCCGCTGGACGCAGAGGCTTCCCAGAAAGACTGACGCCGTCGTTCATTTGATTGAGAAATTGCAACGGTGACGCGATCGAACTGCAAATGTGCGCTGATTCATCATCAAAGGTTGATCTCATTTGTGGAACTAAATTTGGTTGAAGCTGGTTGCGGAGTGCCAATTCAACTGCCTTAGAAAAGTCCACCGTCGCCTGCGGGCTGTCAGACATCACCGGGGCATCGGTTTAGATGACATGGAAGCGAATTTACAAAATAAAAGGTGTGCTGAAAACGGAAAAATCGAAGTCGGTGTTCATTAAGGAAAAAGATATCCGGTATCGACGAATGGGTAACGCGAAATGATTGGGGTTCACGTAGAGTACAGTATTGAGACACACAGACACCGTTCAGGACAAAGTTTGAGAGTATTGTTTAATTCAGAGGTAATTCATTACGGTCCACTTATTTAAGTAAAACGAGTGCGATCCGAGTTCCAACATGAAATTAGTTCGATTTCTAAGGCCCATGTCATTAGACTAACAATAATTCGGATTCCAAAAAGAGGGGTTGGAAAATAAACCAAAATATTCGAGCTGGAGTGCTAAAAGCTGGATGCAAAAAACCGAACGCGGGAGCGTCAATTATTGCACGACCGCACCATGGCGATCGGGTCCCCAACCACTGATGCAGACCACTTCGATGTTTCCACCCACGAAGACATCACGCACTAGCCTGAACAAGTATTTCGGCCACTTTCATCATGTCTCTCATCATCAATACACGTTAGCCCAGGGTGAGAAACACACCGCTAACGTGCTGCAATACAAAAGAGTGGAGACAAAGCATTACAGACCACAAAAGTCAAAAAGTAACATAATGTTAAAATCACATTGTGCACCGGGTTTGAGATCGATGCTGGAGACAGAAGCGAAAGAAAAGAGGAGGGACAAAAGGACTAACGAGACAAATACCAATGAACTCGGCTCCTTGCCATATTAACAAGCGTATCCAACGAAACGGGTTCATCGTCCTTAGGACCCCAGCCAGGCAGTCGGGAAAAAGTAACCGACATCAATTTTGTAATGATGGACACCGTTCCTCCTGACCAATTCATCGTCTGGCCTCCCCTTATCTTCTTCCTTCCACACCCACAGAGTGCAACCTACAAGCGACGCAAAAGCCGGTGTCCTGGAATTCGCAACATGTGGCCCAGCCATCGAAACTTGGTGCGTGATATAATGGTGCCGAGCGGTTCACTCGCTCTTCCTGAACCAAATACGCGACGCCGAACACACCTATTGCTCAAACGGCGCTCTCACCAGACATGATCTAATCCGCGAAGGCAGTAATGGGCAGATGTAACAAGCATCTTTAGGTCTGTCGATCTGATGGGCCAAGTTTCGCAACGGTACAGGAGGGTCGAACGGACGGCTGCATTGTAAGCTCTACGCCTAAGAGTGAGAGTGGTGTCACACCAGCGCCACAGGTGGCGGAGACTAGGAAAAGCGCTTAGAGCTTCCACTATACGGTTCTTGATCTCCTCTTCGGTCCCGCGGGCGCTAATATCGCTGCCCAGGTACTTTAATTCAAGGACGACCTCTAGCGCGGGAGTTGATCCCTGCCAATTTGGGGAAAGCACTTTGCATTTCGAGGATACAAAGTATAGCCCGAAACGACGAACAACCAGAGCTCACCAATCCAGTGCAACTTGGCACGTTCGTAGCTGCCACAAATGAGCGCAATCTCGTTGGAATACACTAAGTCGAAATCGGTTACCTTGGAGCAGCTCCACACTTAAGTGATGCCAGGCGAACGCCGTTACCATTACCCCGTCAATAGCGAAGTTAACGAGGAAAGGTGGCAGTGGGAAACCCTGCATCACAGTGCCGAAGATATTGTGGGGCCGCGACAGCTTACTGTAAGCCCTCACTCTGGGCGAACTATGCACGTACAGCGCTCGGATAATGTTTACGTATTTATCGGTCATACCTTCTCTAATTAGACAGTCCTAAAGTGTACATGAAGGAACGCAATCGAAGGCCCACATCATCGAGTGGTAGCCTCGCAGTTTCATTAAACTACAAGCGGTAACGCGTACAATGTATGTCAGGTAAGGTGGTCAACGAGCAGGGTCCACTCCTAGCATCAACCTGTGGTGGGAAGCAAATAGAGTGGTTCAGGAATTTAACTGCATTGGCAGTAGTATCAGTGACTGCGAAATAGAAGACGGATCTACAAAGCGCATAAAAATGCTCGAGGTGTTTTCGTTCAGTTTCGTTACTAATGGGATTGTGAAGAGTGGAGTCCACAATGCAGTCAACCGTCGAACTTTGCTTCATGCCTGCTAAATCTGACAACTCTGATCGACAGACAGAAAAAGGTTAGTTTAGTTCAACCACCGGTGCATTCGTAGCTTATTTCATACATGATGTGAACACTGCCTCAGGAGGAGAAAATGAACTTTGCAGCACCGTTTTTCGCGTAACAAGCTTCGATGGCTGAGCCCTGGGTTGCGCATGCTAGCACACCGACTCTCGCAACAATTGTTAGTTGCATAAAAGGAGTGTAAATGTAAGAGAAGGGGCCAGCTGAAGATTTGGCCGGGATTCGCACTTCAAACTTGGCCTCGGTTGAGGCGGTCTGGGTTGGAGTCTTAGAGATGATGACCAAGTTTGTTTGGATGCACCCGTTGGTACGGCCAAGAGTCAGCCTAAATAGTGCCTGGGTTGTGAGTTCCTGTGTCCTTCCCCATCGCCCTTAGCCTTCCCCTCCAGAAAGGATCTTACTCTCAATAAACAATAATGGAAAAAACATATTTATTCCTGTGTTACACCATGTATTATTTATTTTTTCGAACATTCTGCTGCATTATGTTGCGATGTGGTAGCTGAGATATTTCTACCCTTCAGTCGACATGTAAAATGAATGAACATGGAATAGCCAACATATACGGTTCAGGCTCAACGGACACATGAGAGAAATACTAGATGGGTAACCTACGAGACACTAGCTGACAACTAAGATCGGACCATCGAGGAACAGACAAGAACACAACATGGGAGAGTGCGTAAAAGAAGGATCTCGGGTTTAGCCACTAGTCAAAGCCGATGGCCGCAATAAACCGGCAATGGTTGCAAACGTTTAAGCAGCAGAAGAAGCAGGGAGTAGAAGTCTGGCAGAAAATAATCCGGCACAAACACAACGCAGAGATAGTTAAAAGTGAGAACCTCTGTATTACGACGGATAGTGCCTCTCGGTAATGGGGCCGAGAGATACGTTGAATCAGTGTAGACACGACAGAATGAGTGTTTCACACAATGAACAGATCCACTGTTGTTCATGACTCAGTAGCTGAGGTGTTTCCCACCTATAGCTAACGTGTATGATGAATAGTAATGAACATGACTTCTATTCAAAATAAGTGGATAAAAAGAGAGTTCAACTAATGGGGTCAACTAAATATAAATAAATATACAAAATTATATTTCTAGACTGTTGCTAGCAGTTCCAACGAGGAGTCAGATTATTTTGTACATGAGTTCCATGCCCTTGCGTGAATAATAAAAAATCGTGGTTAGGTACCTTTGAAGGAGTGTCTTGCACCGTCGAGAAAAAATCGTTTATTTATTTATTTATTTCGAACGCCGTGTCAGATAAGGGGAGAATGAAGTGTTTATACAATAGCGTTTCGCAGCCCGTAGTAAGAGTCGCGATGCAATGGACCCAGTTGCCCCTACTTGAAGATTTTAATCAGGAAGATGACAAGCGCCAACTCCTTCCGGAAGGCACCAAATGGTCTGTCCCTGAAGACTAAATTGTGCCAAACAATAAGCAAATATGAGCAGTTGTCTTATATCCTCAGCGCACGGCCGCCATATAATGGCACTGGCAGCACCGATGCGCCGTAAGCTATTCACTTAACCAAAAGGTTTGCATTCAACTGTCTCCATATGTGACTAACGTCGTTAAAAGCATGTGCAATGGACGGTTAGGCGATAGAGCTGCTTAGACAAGTAAACTAATCGAACAATGAGGCAGGCTGATCAACGTTGAAAATTGGCGCCAAATCGGTGCAGTCCAGCAACAGGTTTTGTACTTTGAAAGTGTGAAGAACAAGTCTAAGTGCACATCTTTAGGCATCAGCCAGTCCGCAAATAAGTGCATAGCAGCTACATCGCCGCTCAGAGCGAGTTTGGAACCCACTCACCTAACAGAACCTCTAATCCATAATAAGGGGAAAAGACGGTAGGGAACTATTAATGACTACCTCGACTGTAGTTGCCTTCGCTAATCTATACAGACAGCCAGCACGAAGCTATAAAGATAAACTCTTAATCGCAGTTCAAGACAACGACACATAGGAAAATAGGCACAAGACACAAGTTTCCAAACGAGACATGAGGAAACTGTTATATTTCAACGTCGACCACTCGTTATCAGTAGCGCACAATAATTTCTGCTCATCGAGTAGATTGTATCCCAACTCATCAGTACAACCCGTAGAATGAACCTTCGCTGCCACACTGCTACCCACAGTCGCGCATGAGCTGGGTTTATCGCGAGGTCGTCCGCAGCTACGGGGATCCGAGTAGGTGATCCGCGGATCACAAAGCTGGCATATAATCCTTTCGGAAAGCGGCGGACATGATGTAGAGATAAGTCAACATCGACGAGACAGCGATTTCTACTACCCCGTGCTATAAACAGCAATCACCTGCGGATAACTCGGTAGCAAGGACAATTTAAATAAACATTTGGTAGGAATGGACTTCAAAGCACCAGCTAGCAGAGCTCAATGAGCCGACGAGGTGCACAAACCGTCTCACAATATTAAAGTGCAACTGCGTCGTGACTGCTTCATGGAAGCAGTAATCTATGCGTACATGTACTGCTTGATAGTCGAAGCGAATTCAGCGTCCCAAGTGAATGCCAATGTGGATCGCCGCTAAACTTAGCCAGGCAGCAAACGTGCATAAAAGACAGGTAGACAAAACATATTTTAAATAAGACAATGAGAACACTGATACTGCGAGATGGAAGCATTTCGTGTTATTTGCTCACTCGCCGAATAACAACACAAATAAGAATCACGTGACAGAAAATCGGAGGTTTGAAACTGGTCACAAAGGAAAATTACGTAGAGGCAAGAATAACAGATTAACAACTTGCACTTAGGGTCATGAGCCCCAAGGAAACTTTAGGGAGACTGTTAATTGTTTTTGTACACAAAGGATAGGGCGATGCCGGTTAAGTGATACCGCTTCGGCAAACCTCAAAACTTTGGGG